CCGTGGTCCATTAGTATTTCTACCTAACGTTTCGTCTACTGCTGCGGTAGACATCTTCAGAGGCGGTGTGGTAGAGGACGAAGTGTTCTCTTCCGTGTTTCTCCGATGACTGAATTCGACGTTGAGGGAACTGCGTTATTTATATCCAGGGTTGTGGGCGTGGCTTGGATTACGGTATTTTCCTTGTCTCGTTCTTGGAAAGGAAGGGTCTTTGTTTTTCGGAGAACTGGCAACCAGCTTTTATTGAGGTTCATGCCCTCTTCTTTTCTGTTGAAGTTGTTGTGGTGTTTCTGTATCTCTATGGCTTCTCTGTGGAGCCTGGTGTAGAAATGTTTGGTTCTATCCAATGTTTGAGTCTGGTCGAAACGAATGACATGGTTTGTTTGTGTAAGCACGTGTTCGGCGATTGCTGATCTATCTATTTGTCCTTGCTGACAGTTTCTTTTGTGCTCTTTGACCCTGGTGTTGATAGAGCGTTTGGTTGTTCCTACATAGACAGATCCACAAGAGCAGGGAATTCTATAGACGCCAGCCGATTCAAGAGGTGCCCTAGGATCCTTGGCCGATCTTAGACTTTGCTGAATTGTTCTTGTGGGCTTGTAGATAGGCTTAACGTTGTGTCTTTCTAGCGTTCGTCCTATGCGATCTGTGACATTTTTGATATAGGGAAGAAAGGCTCTCCCTGCCACCTGTGCTGGTTCCTTGTTAGTTGTGCGCTGCTGCTTCGGTCTTATGGCTCTATTTATCTCCTGCTTGGAGTACCCATTTCCTTCAAGTGCCGATTTTAGGTGTTGCATCTCGTCCTGAAGGTATCTGGGTTCACAAATCCGGATTGCTCTGTCAGATAGAGTTTTAATGACTCCTCTCTTTTGCCTAGGATGGTGATTAGATTCCTTGTTGAGGTATCTGTCCGTATGTGTCGGCTTCCTGTACACTCTTTCCCAGTTTACCTGAGGGTAATCTTTCTAAGAGGACGTCGAGGAATGCAATTTTGTTATCCTTCTCAACTTCCATCGTAAACTGTATCCTGGGTTCTATCGAGTTTAGATGATTAAGGAAGTTTTCGAGCTCTACCTCTCCATGGTTCCAAACAACAAATGTGTCATCTACATAGCGAAACCAACAAGTAGGTTTCTTTGTAACCGTTCGTAGTGCCATTTGTTCGAAGTGTTCCATGTAAAAGTTGGCGATAACCGGGCTGAGTGGACTTCTCATTGCGACTCCATCTGTCTGCTCAAAGAATTCATTTTGCCATTGAAAGTACGTAGTCGTCAGACAGTGGTGAAATAAGTTGTTGATTTCTTCCGGAAAAACATCTTTCAGATACTCTAAAGCCTGATTTACTGGTACCTTAGTAAACAATGAGACGACATCAAAACTAACCAGAATGTGGTAATAGAGTGATATCACTGATCTTTTTGATGAAATGAGTTGAGTCCTTGACATAAGAGCTGGATTGGCCAATCCGTGGTTGAAGGAGGGTGGTGAGGTATTTGGCTATGCTGTATGTGGGCGAATCTATTGCACTTACAATGGGCCTGAGTGGGTTGCCTGTTTTGTGAATCTTAGGAAGCCCATATATTCTAGGTGGTAAGGCCTCAGATTTGATGAGTTTCCTTATGTTTTCCGGCTCCAACGGTAGTGCTCGGATGAGTTGATTGGTTTTTCGCAATATAGAAGCAGTGGGATTACGTTTCAGCTTTCTGTAGGTGGAGGGGTCTAGAAGTTCGGAGATTTTCGATTCATAGTCAGTCACGTTCATGATTACCGTTGCGTTTCCTTTATCCGCAGGCAGGACTAGTATGTTCTCGTCTGTATTCAGGCTGCGAATAGCTTCCCAACACCAGGGTCAAAGAGCACAAAAGAAACTGTCAGCAAGGACAAATAGATAGATCAGCAATCGCCGAACACGTGCTTACACAAACAAACCATGTCATTCGTTTCGACCAGACTCAAACATTGGATAGAACCAAACATTTCTACACCAGGCTCCACAGAGAAGCCATAGAGATACAGAAACACCACAACAACTTCAACAGAAAAGAAGAGGGCATGAACCTCAATAAAAGCTGGTTGCCAGTTCTCCGAAAAACAAAGACCCTTCCTTTCCGAGAACGAGACAAGGAAAATACCGTAATCCAAGCCACGCCCACAACCCTGGATATAAATAACGCAGTTCCCTCAACGTCGAATTCAGTCATCGGAGAAACACGAAAGAGAACACTTCGTCCTCTACCACACCGCCTCTGAAGATGTCTACCGCAGCAGTAGACGAAACGTTAGGTAGAAATACTAATGGACCACGGCATTATAGCCCGGAAAAAAACTTTTTTGCTAAAAATCATTCATCATCATCAATTACTTCTGTTGTAATTCTGTTGGTACGCGCGTGGATGGTAGCGTTCCTTTGGTTTGGTTTTTCTTTTTACGTGTTTTTCCGTTTTTTATGTCCAATTTTTTGGAAATGTTTGTGAAAAATGAAAGAAATAATTGTTTAAAATTAATAATCTAGCCCTGAAGATGGTGTGGAGTACATCGAAACGTCGGCATTGATTTCAATATTAAATTAACGTCCAATAAGCCAAAAACTGACTTTCATTTGAAATTGTTGTGGACAAAATTCTAAAAACATAATTACTAATTTTTTCTCCAAAGGTCAAAAAAACGTCACTTTGTTAACCCCTGTCAAGATGTCAGAAATTTAATTTCTATGCTGCTTGGTAACCCCAGCGGCAGCAAAAGTACTTTTAGTGCCGCTCGTACTTTTACTGCCGCTCAACCATCCACTTGCCCCCGAGCTTACCCCATTAGTTTGGAGAAAAAATAGCGTGTTGCATACGGAGTAGAAGCACTTTTTTGTGCTTCAGCAGTATTGCAAGCCTCACTACGTACTGCTTCAGCACAAAAAAGTAAAGCTTCTACTCCTAATACAATAATATACTATTGTCCAGCCACATTTTCTTGCTCAAAAGTAATATGCAGGTCCTTCCTAAGTTTTCTCCAAAATTTAAACTTTATACGAATCCCAGTGACGTAGGGCCGAATTTATAATCGTTCCTTGACTTTTCCTTGGAGGTCGTGAGTTTAGAATGGACACTTGCTACTATTTGACAAGTTAGTCATGTCAATTCTAAACGTTCAATAAGGCTTCCTCATGGTCCGAGGAAACCTCAAGAAGCGACTATAAATTGGGCCCGTAATAATATCTACTAATTAAACTAGAGCTATGTTTTGAAAGAAAAAATTAATTTATTAACTAATAAGTCGAAAATCACTAGAGATAGGTATAGGACAATAGGTATTATACAAAAATAGTCAGAATGTGATAGCGGAGCTGAAAATACAGTAATATACAAGGTGTCTCATTCAAAATATTAAAGTTTATATTACTTTTTGATATAAACGGCAACGTCGCATCATTGAAATTATTTTATGATAGATCAGGAGCAAAAGCCTACTTGGGGCATGCAATTTTCAAAAAAAATCCAATCATCAATCACCCTGTATATTAATCACATCTGGGTACAAAAATAACGCTTCTCTGCAAATATTCGCGATGTTAAATAGTTAAATTTCAGAATAAATTCTCCATTTTTTTAACAACCACCGGCGTATCCAGCCCATGTGGATTTGGGGGGGGGGGTAATAAGCCCAGGTCGGGTGTCACGCCCAAAAACGTTTATTTTGAAACTTCAAAACAATTTTTCGTTACTACCAACAAATAACAAAATTGAACTCTAGGAAACTATTGAATTATAGCTAATTCTATTGGTAGAACCAGTGCAAAAAAAATTATTTCTATCTCTTTCTTATGCAAACTAATAGAAAAAGACACGAATACACTCAGAACGCACTAGCGCACTTCCGTTTCAATAGAATTCGCTATAAATGGCATGCGAGCAGTGCGGACACTGTGCAAACTAGGAAACAAGTTCAGTTTGTGTAAGAGAGAAACAAGAATAGGATTAAGCGTCAGCCTTTAGACCGCAGCAGTACTGGACAACGTGGTAGAAGGCTGACTGTTTTATATAATAGTTTTTATCGCCAACCGTCAGTAGAGCTTTACATTACCATACCGATTTCCGGAAGTAAAGAATTACTTTATCTCGCTGACTTTACCTGCCGCAAATATTTTTGCAGAGTTCTATTAAGGAATATGTGCTCAATAGAACAAAAATCGCGAAGACGGTTTTAGGCAACAACCAAATCAAATTAACACCATAGTTGTTACCAATAATAATTCTAATAAAGGACTTACACATTGTTAACATATTGAAACTCCTCGACTTCAAGAATTGATGTCATACGACAAGGTGAACATTCACGTTCAATATAACAAACAATAAGTAGATGTGTTCTGTGTTTGCTCTTATAATAAAATGTGTTAAGTTATATATCTTCATTTTTTACAGTTATCAATTTTTACGGTTGGCGATAAAGTTTTGTATGCACCATGTCAGTAAAGTGTCTGTCGAACACCCCTTGTTACTCGCCTCTCTCGCTTCGCTCGCTCGACTCATAATCTCAGACTCAGATAAAGTATCACTTTACTGCCTTGGTATATAAATACCTATTTCAGGCATAGACAATTAACCGCGTCATATTATTTGTTATTTTATTATTTATTTATTTATTTCCTAAAACATCCATTCCCCTGGCCATATAAAAAATAGATGTAGGGTACATATTTTTCGTCCATCGCAACGATCTTGAGGGTATAATTACCCCATTACTTCCCCTCCCCTCCTTATATACGCCGGTGTTAACAACTCCACCAGAAAATGAACTATTCTTAAATTATTATCAAAAAATGCGATTTTACCAAGCATCTCACTTAATTGGAAAATTGCACATTACAGAAAAAAAACTGGAAAATGATTCCATTACTACTAATACTAATGTTATTATCTATCAACACTAATAATGCTACCTTCACAAAATGGTTTGCACACTTGACTAATAAAAATATTTCCTCCGCGTCATCAGTATGCGGCAGACGGATGTGGCCCGAAGCCAGGATAGTCGGCGGAGAAAAATCGACATTTGGACGATGGCCCTGGCAAATTTCCTTGAGACAATGGCGAACTTCCACGTATTTGCACAAGTGTGGAGCGGCACTACTGAATGAAAACTGGGCAATTACGGCGGCGCATTGTGTTGACAAGTAAGTAAAACAACAATTTTTGTTGCTCAACTACTGTTTATAGGTAAAGTGAGGAGTATTTTCTTCCCCGTCATTAAAATTGTTTGTAACTAAATAAGCCTCTCAAAAATAAATATTTTTGTTTGCAATTGGAAAACTCGCATCCTTTTTCGGTCTATAGAATAAATTGTGAATTATTATCCACAAAAATGTGAACTAAATATAACCACATATTCAATTTTCGCTTTGTAGAAACTGAACATAATATCAGAAAATTTTACTATGTATTTTAGTGTACCACCAAGCGATTTACTTCTTCGACTAGGCGAATACGACCTATCAACCGAAGGCGAACCATATTTGCACGAAGAACGTCGAGTACAAATTGTAGCGTCGCATCCACAATTCGATCCGAGGACTTTCGAGTATGACCTGGCCTTATTACGATTCTACGAACCGGTGCAGTTCCAGCCGAACATTATTCCAGTTTGTGTTCCGAAAAGCGAGGAGAATTTTGTCGGTAGAACGGCTTGGGTTACTGGATGGGGGCGACTTTATGAAGGTAACCTGTAATTTAGTGTAATATCTGAAATTTTTATTTATTTAAGTACCTACCTATTCAGTGAAAATGATAAAATGAATTTATAATTTAAATTAGTGAACCTGGTATAAAGTCTGTTGTGAACCCCAATCACAACAGATCATAAGCTAAAATTCCCAGATGTGAAAAAAATGGTAATTATTGGGAAATTGAAACAGTAGTAGTGGAAATATTCCGGAATGATTATAGGAACAGCAGAATTACATATTATCTTTTTCCACTAGGTATTCTAGCTATAGCATCACGCGAAACTCATTCATCAAACACCTTCATCAACTAAATTTAAAAGTCTCCTTCTTCAGGTGCCTATCCGTTCCGGATGTTGGCTATCAAAATGGCTATTCTTACTTTGTTGATGGCGATTCGGAAAAATTCCTCTCTTGTACCGACGTCGTTCCCAAACCCAAACTGGTTCGATGAAATCTGTTCTTCACAAAGTCTATAATATTTTTTTGTGTATTATCTTGAAAAACAGCTTTAAGAGATGACTCATTAAACTTATTGTTCTAAAATCACCGCAGGTTTTGGCACTTGCTTTTTTCGGCAGTGTGATAAATTCTGACCTTAACCAATCCGCTGGAATTTTTCCTGTTAAGTTGATGTTGCTGAATATTCTGGTCAGCCATTTGATTTTATCCTCGTTCAGTAGCTTTAGGAATTCAGTTTGTATTTGATCTAGACCAACTGCTTTCCGTGGCTTCATTTTCGAAATGGCGGCTTTCACCTCGTCCACAAGAATTTCCAGTCCCTCTCCTACAGTTGGTTTTTGTTCTTTGCGTAGGTACATCATGAAATAGATTATCTAGATATGTTTTCCAGGCCTCCTTCTTTTTCTCCGCGTCAATTAGGGCTTCGCGAGACCACAAGACTAGACTTGGTCTTTTCTGGGTCTTGGTAGCAAGACTAAGACCAAGACCGAAACCAAGGCCTGAATAATCTTCTCAAGACCAAGACCAAGACTTGACGTTCAAGATCAAGACCAAGACTTTCTCTCAAGACTCTCGTCTTGGTCTTGATCTTGAAAAGAAAAATCGACTCAATATTTATAAAAATATGCAAATTCCTATATGTTCTCTTAATGTCTTTCAATTAAATCAATTATTCATTTCATCAAATTTATAATTTTTTGAAATTCACGAGAAGGTATTATAGGTTTTAAAAATATACATACAACATAAAACAATACCTAAGTATTGGAATTCCCAAAGATAATTTTTAACTAACTAACTAACCCAAACTAACACAAACCCCACATCAGACATCTCACCCAAACTAACCCAAATATTGTGAATAGGCCAATAAATTTCAAATGAGGTGAGGGTTCTAGAAAACCTTTCTCTGGGTTCAAGGTTTTAATCTATGGTTCAAAAAGAAATTTATTTTTTTCCTTGGTACAGAATGACAATTTTATGATGTTGTTTGTTCTTCTGTGTTGTGGAATGCTTTATGCGGTATTTTTTGACATGAAACGCTCTTGGTGATAGAAATAGCCTGTGAAGAAGACCAAATGCATGGTCGAAACGTCGGCATAATTTTTTCAGGAAGGGAGGTTTATTTTTTATTTTTAAGTCAATGATGATTTCTCCTGCTTCGTTGACCAAAGGTTTACAGTTGTTTTTGTGGCCTTTCCTTGTTACTTCTCGGACTTTCCTGTGAACATTGAAGTCATCGTGCATGTTTTGATGGTGTTCGATCTCGTGACATTTTTCTTGTAGTTCTTTTTCTTTCGCTTCCCTTTATTTCCTGTTTTATAATGCATTCTATACGTTTATATTCCGTTGGATTTCCTTTATTATGTCTTCTTTCTCCCATCAAGTTTAATATTTCTGTCGTCATCCAAGATTTTCTCTTTATTTTGTCCGGTTTCAATATTTCCTTCTTAACTGTTTCTACTGTTTGCTTTAATTTGTTGAGTTCCATATCGACGTTGTTGTTTTCATTTGGTTGAATGTTTTCGTTGAGCAATATTGCTGCTGCTTCCTCTATTGCTGGGGTTTTGAGTCTCTGAAGGTCATAGTTTGGAGTCATCTTAGTGTTGACCTTCTGAAACATTTTCACCTTAAATACACCAACCAAGGAACAGTGATCTGGTCTAATGTCAGCTGCTGGATATGTTTTGAGAGATAGGCAGCTATTTCTAAAACTCTTATTGACTAACATAAAGTCGATTTGGTTTCTGACTATTCGAAAATGGTTCATGGATTATTTGGTGGTATTGAGCAACTGAGTACACACAAGCAATATAAAATCACGATTTCCAAGGGAACATTTCCTTGTACTTTTGAAGTTCTCGATCAATTGAAGATCTGTGGGGAAGCACCAGTTTTTTACGGCCCATGGATTGAGAAATTGAAACTCTTGAAAATAAACATTTCAGACTTCCGTCAGTCCGGACCTGTCGAACTGTTACCTGGGGCTGACATTGTAGGGGGTTTGTATACCGAGAGACGTCAAAAACTTCTTTGTGGCTTAGTGGCAGTTGAATGGACCCTCATGGGAAAAATACCAATGAATAATGTAAATTACGATGTAGTAACCACTTTAAACCTTTTTGTGAATACCGCTCCCATTAGTGCATTATAGGAACTAGAAGCCAATGGCCACGTTCACCAGATACAAACGTTGGTAAACGCATAGCGATTGTTCTGCTAAACGCTACGTTGAATTTGTGTTGAAACGAAACATGTTTTGCAAACGGTCGCCATTTTTGCAAGCATAAATTAAAAGTGTTTATAATTTTCAACACTAGTGTTTTGTGTGGTGACATGACATTCAGAGGGTGACGTTCTATTATTGAAAAGTTGAATCGTTGAGCAGAACCAAGAGTTTGCCCAACATATTCTGTTGGTATTTGTGAACTGTTTACAACTTGTTTCAGTAGCCATTGGGATCACGGAGCTGTCAGACATGCAAACCTAAAAAGAGATAGCCGTGTCAGCCAAGGAGCTATTTCTGCAAACGATTAGGGTTGACAGGGATAGGCGCCATGAAGTTCGCCTTCCCTGGCTAGAAGGGCATCCTCCGCTTGACATCAATTTCAAAATAGCGAAAAAGAGATTGGACTCTGTTATACGTAAATTAAAATCGGACAAGTTTTTTGCACGGTATGATAACATTCTCCACGATTGGCAAAACGAAGGCATCATCGAGCGAATCGATTCCCCAACGAACGTTTATGAAGACCAGAGCCATTTTTTGCCTCACCAAGCGGTGGTTAAAGAAAGCAGCGCCACAACTAAAGTTAGGCCCTTATTTGATGAATCTGCGCTTGAGGTCGGAAAGCCATCCATAAATCATTATTTGGAGAAAGGCCTTAATTTGATAGAGCTTATTCCCTACATACTAGTGGGATTGCAACAGAATAAAATTGAAGTGGTTTCGGATATAGCAAAAACGTTTGTTTCCCGAGGGCCTCTGGCCCGAGGGACACCAAGTGCCCGTAGGTATTAACACCTGATAATGATTATCTTAACCAAGGTATTATATGGTTATAATAGTTCAGTAGTATATAAATTATCTTTCGTCATAGGTGCGTGGTATAGTGGTATTTGGCCTCAACAGTAATCATTTTTTATTGGGTGTGACGTTAGAGTATCATTCAGACAAATCCCTCACAGAATGTGAAAATCATGCTGCTGGAAAGCTAGATTAGGTTACTACTGTCACACTCTGGAAAACCTGAAGAAGAGTTTCTATGTTGACAATTGCGTGACCAGCCTGCGAGATGAATAGTCAGTGACGAAGTTTATTGAGGAAGCAACTACTAGCATGGCTAGAGGAAAATTTGAATTGAGAGGGTGGAAGCGCACCCATTATTGTGAATCCCAGCCTGTAATAGCACCTTGTCACGTCTTGGGTTTAAATTGGCATACTCAAAAGGGCGTCCTGGAAATTAACACTAAGTTTTTGGAAGGTAACATTGACGTCGAAAATATGACAGTCACATAACGCCATATTCTTAGATGGACACAGAAGAATTCTTAGTTGGACCCAATTGGTTACACTTGTCCCGTGGTGCTAGTGTCCAAATTAATATTAGAAAACACAAAACTGTGGAAGGAGCGGTTGACTTGGGACCTGTCGATGAGGCGTTGGCCCAGAATTTCAAAAGTTGGCTAAAAGACTTACATAGCTTGTCGTATATCAAAATTCCTCGATGGATTGGTGCGGGCGATACAGAGTCAAAAGATCTCAGTCTGCATACATTTTGTGACGCGAGTAAGGATTCGTATGCTTGTGTCATATTCTTAAGAGTAAATCTCCGTGAACGTATGTCGTTCTTTCCATTGGCTGCCAAAACTAGGGTAGCTCCTCTGAAGAAGTCTGGATCCAGAATGACTATACTTACCTCATTTAGAGTTGTTAGCGGCGACGATTTGAGCCCAGTTATATGCACATGTGTGTGAGAATCTAGACGGAATCATAGGCAGTTATTTTTGGAGTGACTCCCCGACAGTTATTTCTTGGGTACAGATAAAGGAAGAATGAGGAGTATTTGTTTGGAACTGGACAGCAGAAATAAAAAAAATTGACAACATTCAACAAATGGAACCATTTACCGGGAGTTCTAAGTCCGACTGACTTACCTTTCAGAGGCTGCTCTTCTAGACAGTTAGTACTATTCTCGAAATGGTGAGAGGGACCAAAATGGCTGTATGCCCCACCCGACACACGGCCTGCAGTAACTGACGTAGTTGACGCAGATGAATGCCGAACGCAAGAGGAAACTCGTCACCACTTTATTAGTCTCTAAAGATTCTGAGGAAGATTCCGTAAACTGGTATCTTGAATATTTCTCCAAATACAACCGAATCGTTAGGAATAGGATGATTCCCTGGATGTTTCGATTCACTCACAACTGCAAGCAATCAAGGGATAAGCGAAATTCCGAACTAACGGCCGAGTAAAATAACAAGGCTGAAAAGTCTCTTTTCAAACAGCAAGCAAGTTTTTCTGTCGACGACCCATGAAT